GCGACAAGCTCTAGCACATCTAATTCTGGCTATAGCACACCGGTGCGGCACTACGACGGTCTAAGAGAGCAATGGTTCGCCAAAGCCTCAACCCCATCATACCAGCGCATGCTCGTTGGTCGAATGAACCTCCCAGTCTTTAACTTCAGAGATGAGATTCTATCCACTGTGGACAAGAACCAGGTCACCATAATCTGCGGTGAGACTGGCTGCGGAAAGAGTACGCAAATTCCCGCCTTCGTCCTCGAGCACGAGCTGTCCCAAGGCAAGGCATGCAAAGTCTACTGCACCGAGCCCCGACGTATCTCGGCGATTTCGCTTGCCCAACGTGTGAGCGAAGAACTAGGCGAAGGACCCAAAGATCTCGGATCCATACGTTCACTTGTCGGATACGCAATTCGGCTTGAGTCAAAGACTTCCTCCCAGACTCGCTTGGTGTACGCGACAGTGGGTGTGGTATTACGAATGCTAGAATCATCTGGAGGCTTGCAAGAGGTTACACATCTGGTTATTGACGAGGTTCACGAAAGATCCATCGACACGGATTTCCTTCTGGTCATACTTCGGTCACTCATGGAACGCCGACCTGAACTTAAAGTCATACTAATGAGTGCCACGGTAGATGCCGCACGTTTCTCAAGGTACCTGAACGACGCACCGATCCTGACAGTACCAGGTCGCACCTTCCCGGTTCAGACTCGATACCTGGAGGATGCGGTCGAGTTGACTCATTACGCTGGAGCATCCGACGCGACCAAAGCTGCCGCCACGAGCGACAACGATGAGGATGACGGGATTACGAGCGACAAATCCGGTATTCCTAACAAGCTGCCAGGTTACAGCCAACTAACACGTGAGGTGCTTTCTAACTACGACGAGTATGCCATTGACTACGACCTGATCACACGATTGATCGAGACGGTCGCGTTTGATCCGCAGCTGAGTCGCTTCAGCAGCGCCATCTTAGTCTTTCTCCCGGGACTTGCTGAGATTCGTCAACTCAACGATATACTGGCTAGTCATCCTTCTTTCAAGGCTGATTGGTATGTGTACCCGCTACACTCCACCATTTCGAGTGAGGATCAGCAAGCTGCGTTCCTTGTTCCACCCCCGGGCGTACGCAAGATCGTGCTCGCTACCAACATCGCCGAAACCGGAGTCACGATCCCGGATATCACCTGTGTTGTCGACACTGGTAAACATAAGGAGATGAGGTTTGACGAGCGCAGACAGCTATCACGTCTGACTCAGTCCTTCATCTCGAGAGCGAACGCAAAGCAACGCCGTGGTCGTGCCGGCCGTGTACAAGAGGGCCTGTGCTTCCACCTCTTCACAAAATATCGTCACGACAGCCTTATGGCAGAGCAGCAAACCCCTGAGATGCTCAGACTTTCGCTCCAAGATTTGGTCATGCGCGTAAAGATTTGCAAGCTTGGTGATATCGAAGCCACCCTTGCTCAGGCACTCGATCCACCCTCTTCCAGGAACATCCGTCGCGCTATCGATGCACTTGTAGAGGTCGACGCGTTGACGCCAAGTGAAGAACTTACACCTCTTGGTCGTCAGATCGCGAAGCTTCCGTTGGACGCACACTTGGGCAAGCTTGTTCTGCTTGCAAGTACGTTTGCGTGTGTTGATGTTGCTATCACTATTGCTGCCATTGTCTCTTCAAAATCCCCGTTCTTGTCACCATTTCAACAAAAGCAACGAGCTGACATCGCTCGTCTTGCGTTCAAGAAGGGCGACTCCGACCTCCTCACAACTTACAACGCCTACAGGGCTTGGAAAGCAGTATGCACTACCCCGGGACGGTCTGAGATGCAGTTCTGCCACAAGAACTTCCTCAGTCCGCAAAACCTGGGCAACATCGAGGACCTCAAAGCACAGCTCTTCTCCTCATTGGTCGAGGCCGGGTTCATACAACTCACGCCCGACGAGCGTCGCGCGATAGGCCGCTACCGGAATACGACACGCCACCGTGTCTTCGTTGAGGTGCCAGCACAATACGACATCCACACCGACAACGATGTTCTCGTCAACTCAGTCATCGCCACAGCATTCTACCCCAAGATCCTGACCCGCGAAGGCAAGGGCTGGCGAAACATCTCAAACAACCAAACCGTCAGCCTCGGACCAACCTCCGTCAACAAAGGCTCGCGAACAGCCGACTTCCTATCCTACTACAACATCATGCAATCCAGCAACAAATTCTACAACGCGCACTCGACCTCAATCGCCTACCCACTTCCCATGGTGCTCATGGTCGCTGCCGATATGGACTTCAAGCTCCATGCAGGCGTGATCAGTCTACCCGGCAATGTCATCCGCTTCGCAGTTCGTGAATGGCGGGCTGCTGTCGCGCTGAAGGTGCTGAGACGCCGTATCAAGGAGATACTGGCGAATAGCTGGAAGAATCCTGCGCGGCAGTTGAGCGATCGTGAGAAGGAGTGGCTTGGCTTGTTTTATAGGATGTTTGAGGAGAGGTTTGAGAAGGACGAGAGGATTAGGGAGAGGGCTGGTGGGAAGGCGAAGTGAGGTGTTGGGTTCAGTTGGAATATATTAGATGGATCACTTGTAGATGTGGATTGTATTGGTGTTGTATGTGCTGGTCCTAAGCTTTTGCTTGCATCATTACAAACATATAGGTACAACGAATACAGGATCTATCAATACCACTAGCAATATGCATCGTGCATTTCACGAAGTTGTTACAAGGAGAAAGCGCGATTATCATGCTTGACGTTGAGATGTACGAGAAGACAAGGTACAATATTCTAGCTAGAGTAATAGAGGCTAGACAATACAAGAGGTCTATATAAAGAGACCAAGGTTTGACAAGATGACTATCGAAGAAGACGTTAGCCACCATTCTATACACCCTTATTACGGTGGGATGTTGATGCAGAGCAGAGCAACAAAACGTAGTCAGGTAACTCTATATAGTAATCTCAATGTAGGTGTATTTCCCAAACACCTTTTATTCGCCGTAATGCAGCAGTAGGAACTCTCTATACACCCTTATCTCTAAGCCGATTCAAGTTGTTAGTCCTCCTTTTCTTCCTCTCTTCTACCCGCCGTATAGATATAACATCTCCGAGTAAAAGCCAAATGGTCCCCCATGTAACAGGCGCTGCTGCATACTCCGCTATATCGCGGAGGAGCGTTTTAAAAAACCCACGACGGCCCGAATGGAAGTTTCGTTGGTTCCACTATCATGAAAACGAACCCATGCCTGGGGGCGCAGAGTGACGCTTTGATTACGTGGAATAGCTGCTCCAAGTCGGTGGGTATGGCGCTCAAACAGCAGTTGTGGGCTTGGAGTAGTACCGTGTCGTACCCTGGGTTATAGATAGCCATCGATCCGCGGGATTGTAGTTCGACTGCATTGCCCAAGCGGCATTCGTGGGGGTTGTGTACGTTGGCGTTACGCACGATGTTGTTCATAGACATTGAGCCGCGCGAATGTAATCTTTTAAGCGCGTCATCCGTGAATACTTGATGTAGGGGCTGCATGCGGAGGGCTTCGTTGCGGAATAGACGACTGGTGTGGTATACAGCAGGGAGTTTGGGTAGCCGTACTGTTGCGCGAGGAGCGGTGGATACTGAGGCGTCGCTGATATCGTTTGTTTTGCAGGATGAAGGTGCATGTAGGTGCAGTACCAGTTCATCTTTACGCTGCGCCATGTCTTCCTCGAGAGTGTAGTTGATGATCATGACTTGGAGCTCTGGTGCGAGATCGGGGAAGCAGGTGAAGGTAGTTGGGGTGGTCATTTTTGCTCGTTGTGATTTCCTCTTTTGTGTAGATTGGGTAGTGGTTTATGTGTAGTATGGGTGTGGTTTATGTGTGGTTTGTTTGTGCGTCGATCGTGGATGTTAAGAGGTGTGCAGGAACAAGAGACGAAAATTTCCTTATATACGCTTTTGATGCCTTAAGCTTAGCCCAAAGCACTTCCAGGCACTGCTGCTTGAAATCATTGATCATTACTATGCCATGGTTGTGGTTGGCCATAGAGTTGAGTCGCTACCGCGTTTCCACACCCTTTGACTCACGTACGAGCCAGTGATAATCTCAGCAGGCTCAGGACTTGTCACTAAAACAACGCATCCTTGGTTGAGACTGTCGCATTTAGCAGTGACATGCCGCAGTCCAAATCTTTTCTGAGTAAGCCTGCATCCACTTCATCAACTGGTACCGCGATGACGCAGAACAGCGAGCCACTCGCAACTTCCACAAATCATGACTCTTCCATACACACTAAGGTATTCTCGAATGAGAAATGTATAACTAGCAGGAACTTTGCAAGTAAGACTTGTAAGATGTCGAGAAGGATACAAGAATTTTCGACATAGATAGTAGACTGTAGACTGTAGACTATAGACTGTAGACTGTAGACTGTAAACTGTAGACTGTAGACTGTAGACTATAGACTGTAGACTGTAGACTGTAAACTGTAGACTATAGACTGTAGACTATAGACTATAGACTATAGACTGTAGACTATAGACTGTAGACTATAGACTGTAGACTATAGACTGTAGACTGTAGACTGTAGACTGTAGACTGTAGACTATAGACTGTAGACTATAGACTATAGACTGTAGACTGTAGACTGTAGACTGTGGACTGTGGACCGTAGACTGTAGACTGTAGACTGTAGACCGTAGACCGTGGACCGTGGACTGTGGACCGTAGACCGTGGACCGTGGACCGTGGGTCAAGTACCGCACCTACAGTTTCGACACCTTTACCAGTCCGTAGGACTACATTAAGCGAGTCACGAGTGTTCCCACGTGCTTTCTCCCCCGGCTGATGCCGTCATACTGTATAGTCAGCCACGCGGCACAGTTGGACCCCTCTTCGTGCACCGCAGCAGTCTCTCTTCCGCTTCTAGTAAACGCGCACGTTATCACCCCAAGTGCGCGCAAAGACTATTAAAAGAGACTCGATAGCCCTTCCTATACTTTGAGTAGTGCTGCGATACTCTTCACCTTGTCGCAACATGGTGAAGATCCCCGATAGCTTTACCCAGGCTATTCTGAAAGAGCAAGACAAGTACGAAGGCAAGTATATCGACGATAACATCGTTGCCGGTAAGTGTTTTACTACCCCAAAGCTATGAGACCGTACGCTCACAGCCCCCTCCAGCATTACCAAAGGGCGCAAGCATAGACCTAGTCCGCACCATAGGCGCAACACACTGGTCGATACTGACCAAGATCGACACCACCATCTCCAGCAGACCACAGTCCTTCTTCTTGAAAGAATACCGTGATGCAAATGCGGAGTACATGGTCAAAGCCGAGTACGAGTCAACAGCCGCTTTGTACGCCGCAGTACCGAACCATGTGCCTCGACCATACGCATATGGCTGTTTCGCATCGGACTCGCAGCGCTTCTTCTATCTCCAGTCTTATTGCGATATGGAAGATGCGCCTGTGTATGCGGACAAGGCCACAGCCGCATCTATTAAGCCGTTTGTCGAGGAATTTATCGGCGTACTGGCTGAAGTGCGTAGTAATGAGTCGCCAACAGGGAAGTTTGGGTTTCATATCGACAGTAGGTAATTTTGTTGTGCGCGAATGGTACCTTGGATCTGACGCGAGATTGCAGCCTTCCAGGGAAACGTCGTTAATCACAATCGATGGTGCGATACTTGGGAAGAGTACTTCAGCCGCAACTTACGCTGTCTCATAGATCTGGAGCGTTCCATCCATGGTGAAGATCCGGAAATGGATGCTCTATGCGCTGATCTTATAACGAAGGTAGTTCCTCGACTTCTTCGTCCGATGGAAAGCGGTGGTAACAAGATCAAACCTGTCCTGTTACACGGCGATATGTGGCACGGTAATGTCAGCGTCGACAAGAAGACGGGAAGCCCGGTGTTATATGATGCAGGATGCCTTTTCGGGCATCACGAGTTTGAAGCAGCGCCGTGGCGTGCTACGAGGTATGCTTTTAACAAGACACATCTGGACGCGTATCTTGAGATCGTCCCTGCATCGAAACCGCAAGAGGACTACGACGACAGGAACGAACTCTACGCAATGTGAGTATTGCGACGTTCTATAGCGCATGGTCACGCTAACGAACAAGTCGGAACAATCTTGTAGTCTCGTGTTGCTGGAAACAGAACAAGACTACTCGACAGTTGTAAGTCGCGAGCCTTGGTCAGGTTTGGCGCATCGATTGACCAGATGTAGGGCGATTGAGGGGATGCGAAGCCTAGCAACCAAGTTTCCAGATGGATACGAGGGGTATGTCGCCGCAAATAAGGCAAAGGGTAAGCGCGATTCTCGGGAGTTGAACGCGAAGTGGTAGAGGAGAGGTCATCAGCTCACTTCCCCTCGATTTTGTGCGTTATCTCCTGCGTACATCCGTCTTGCTCACGTGCTTGCCGTTCATTGCGCCACGCCATACCTCTGAGTCGAATGAAGATTGTTGCGATGGCACTGAGTATACCAGAGATTGCGGCGAGAGCCGTGAAGAACCAGCCCTTGCCCATCACTTCCAGAAGAGGCTGCATTGCGGCAACAGCTGCTGCTGAAAGAGCGCATCGTGTGATGTTACCTGCTGCAGCGGCAGTGCTTGTGTTCTGCGGAGAAATGTCCACAATGAGGGTGTTGTGCGTCTGGAACGTTGTCAATACTGCTGCCGGTTGTACATTGTAAAAGCAATTACCTGACAGATGCATGTAGCGAGAAATCCATGCACGAACAGAAAGATCAGTGGTACACTTATATGCTGCATGTCCGTCAGTTCTCCGACTGTGTGGGTAGTGGAGGTGGCATACAATTTCTTCGCGCAAGACCCATCCATACCCCACAATGACTGCAGTCGATGTCGGGATCAGAAGCCACGATAACCGAGACCGTGCCTTCTCGATGGGAAATTTGGCTAGATCGTCGCCAGCAACCTTGTCGACTGTTATATTGTTCGCCTTGGCTATAGAGCGGTAGTTGTAGTCCATTAGTTTTCCATTGATGTAACCACCAAGGATAACGCCAGTCCCTATTGAAAAGTAGCATAGACCAACCTGGAGCTCATCGAGACCGTAGATTTCCGTGAAGATGGCGGGGATGGATGCTTGGATGCAGTAGTAAGCGGCGTAGTAGACGGCACTAATTGAAAGGACTGCAGCGGTGTCTCGGTGAAAACAAACCAGCAGAGCTTGGAAGGGGTTGGGTATGAGGCTTCTCTTCTTCCAAGCCCTCTGTACTGTACATGCTTCTAGCTGTCGCTGCCGGCTTGACTGCAACAAAGGCATGTTCCATTTGGGTGCTGCAATACCGCCGTTTCCCACGACGTTGCGCCCAGTCTCAGGGAAGACGAGGCTTAAAACGGCCAGAAAGGCAGCTCCAATAATGACTAGCAACCAGAACACCCATCGATATCCAGTTCTTGATGCCATTACACCACCAACTAGAGGGCCTATACTTGGACCGAGATTTGTCGCAATCATTGCAGGCCCTAACATGCTTCCCCGAGTAGCCGGCGTCGCTACATCGGCAATGACTCCGTATCCGATGGCTACCGTTGCGGAGCAGCCGAAACTCTGGACGCCACGCAGGACCATCAGAGCAGCATAGTTCTGCTGAAGAGCGAGACCCAGGTTTGCGCAGACGTATATAGCGAAAGTGATGAGGTACACAGGTCGCCGTCCGAGATTGTCGGCCAAGTCTCCACAGAAGGCTGGTGCGATTACTTGAACAATGAGGTATGTCGTGATGGTAAGGTTGATCAGGCTGGCATTGACACCCACAGCGCGTTGGAGTTCTTCAAGACATGGAAAGTATATGTTGGCTGTAAATGGTGAGAAGAACATGCTGCATCCGATCAACCATGTAATCATGCGCCGCTCGGCCTTGGTGAAGACTGTGTATGGAACAGCTGTTTCTGTATTTGAGATAGCAATTTTTGCCTCGACTTCTGTCATGTTCGGCGCGTCTTCGTCTTTGGCGAGGACATGATCGTTGCTCGAATGATTCGGCTGTGTCTGCATCTTCTAAATCTGTGGAGTAGGGTCGAAGTAGTGAAGCGTCGATGTGAGCTAGCGTCAACAAGGAAGCTTTCGGTTTGTCAGTGTGGAGTCTCAACCTGGTCTCTTTGCCTGATTAAATGGCGGTAGCCCTTGGTGGACAAGCAGGCCTCGCGCGTGATGTCGCGTGTTATGGCACATGCTGTCCAGTCATACAAGACGCATGCGCAGGTATACCCCGCCATAGCGGTGGTTGCGGCGTAGTCAGCACGCGTCTTGACTGTGATGTCGCGCGCAGGCCAGCGTCTGTCGCGAACGCGAGATGGTGGACGCGATGCGGACAGTGGCTGGGAGATGTCGCGTTCACGCTAGACGATCTAGCGTCCGACATCACGTTGCTGACGTTTGACACGCCATTTCAAAGTCAGCAGTGGCCCTTTCCCACAACAAACGATACTTCGTCCCGTACTCACGAATATCGTGACTTTCTTATCAAGTAAAAGCCTTTGATATATGCATATCTTCCTCACGTTAGGTATGAGCACTTCAAATCACACAGCAGCGCCTTGTGTTTGAGACCACACTGCACAGGTCCATGTCATAAATATACATACAGTACAGATGCTCTATACCTTCACCTCCTCTACTTTGGGCTTCTCAAACTCAGCCTTGCCATCTTTCACGGTGGCATACCGTATTGTGCCCGATGCGTCTGTGTTGGGTATCGGTGCTTTTGTGCCTTCTCCTATTGACTTGATCTCCTCTTTGATCTTTCGTGTGGCAGCGTCCTCAACCGCGCCTGGTGGGCTGTCCGCGATTTCATCGACGTTTCTCAGGGTAAGGACGTCGCTGATTCGGGAAGCGCGGGACTGTATGAGCATGGTGGTTGGGCCTTCGAAACGGAGGAATAACTATGTGAATTAGCATTTGTGACAAGTCTTTTCTTAGGCCTGTAGCTTACTCTGTCGCCCCAGACTGTTCTCCGCAACCATGTCTTGAGAGTGTAATATGTGGTTGCCAGAGCCCGCCATGTGCCTGTCTTGCTCATAGTTCGGAAGAACTTGGTGTTCTGGACCATTGAGCCGAAGCCAAGGTCTGGCACTTGGAAGCGGAGGTTCGACGACTTGAACCTGAAAGGGATTGGTGGGGTGTTGGAGGCTGTGTACGCTACGACGTTGCTACAATGCTGTCAGTGTAAAGTTCTGAGTATTTCTGTCGTCTCAACATACCTGGGATGCGCGACATAGCTTTCGCCAGCCTTGACCTGGACCTGGTATATCTGCCCGCTTCCTGCAAGCGCAAGTAACCCCCTGCCAGTAATATATGTGTTTCCCCAGTGTGCCAGCCCCAACTTTACATTGTACTGCGGCTTCAACTTGAGAGTGTGGCCAGTCCAGGCGAGCAATGCATTTCGTTGGCTAACAATCCAATCATCCCTTCCGTCCATGTTGACCGAGACGATACTCGATATGGGTGCCTTTGTGGAGACGAGAGCTGTGACGGGGCTCGTCGAAGACACTTTCTGGTAGAGAAAGGGGATGCCAACGGGGGCCCTCTGGAGGGGCTCGAGGAAGGAGAGGGTTGATAGCGTGTTTTCCGACTTTCCGCTGAGGCCGACGAGTGTGCCGCGGCGGGTGTAGAGCGTCTGTGAGGCGGAGAGGGAGACGGAGAGGAGGGAGAACGGGGTGCCAATGACTTCGAATCGGGCGTCTGACGGTTCTTTTAGCCTTTGTATAACTAATGTAATTATATCGACGCTTCTTACCTGGTGTGTGCATGGGCGTCGCGGTGCCCTCAACACTGACTGCCTGCTGCAGCGCGGGCTCATTTGACGAGCTGGTGGCTGATATGTTGATGCATCGCGCCGCAAAGGGCGTCCGCCGTATGGCAGCGGCGGAGGTGCGCGAGATATTTCTCCAGGGCGAGGCAGCCGGTCGTAACATGGCTGTGCCGGGCAATTGGCGCGTGACGGGCGGCGAAGATGTTCTGGTCAAGCTCGGAGCAGCGATGATGCAAGACGGCCTCGCTTCAGCCCTGCCGCCCAAAACACGCTAGACAACGTGGGATGCATGTCTCCAGGTACTCACAGCAAACACTCTCTTGCCATCTTGTCCTCCTCCGCCATTGAAGCTCTCCACGGCTTCTCTCTCCTGTGCCAGCGGTTCAGCGACCTAACATGTGACATCGCCATGTTAATCCAACCACTCGCCCGCGCCGCCAGTCGGCCGGGTCTTCGATCGTCCAGTTTGCGCCCGCATCCTCTCCACCACGGCATTCGCGTATTCACCTGCTCTCCGCTACACAGAAAGGATGCACACGGCCAGCGGCCAAAGCCCGGCTCTAAGCCCGCCATCGAAGCCACCAAACCTGCCGCCGACCCCGCCGCGGCCAAAGTCGCAAAGACGGACCCATTGCTGCAGGAGCAGGTCCTGACCAACAAGGAGCAGCGCAAGGCTGACTGGGCCATTATGAAAGAGATGTCGGCATACCTGTGGCCAAAGGACAACATGGGCACGCGCTTCAGGGTCGGCATCAGTCTGGGCTTGCTGGTAGGCGCAAAGCTGCTGAACGTCCAAGTCCCCTTCTACTTCAAGAGCATTGTAGACGCCATGAACATAGACTTTGCGGCTGTTGGCGGCACAGCGACCACAGTGGCAGGCTCTATGATCATCGCATGTAAGCTAGACCCAACAATGCATCCCATGTCCACCCTGGCTGAGACTCCCTTCAGACGGAATGACTCGTATTGGCGCCACTGTTTCCCAGGAACTGCGCAATGCCGTCTTTGCCAGTGTCGCCCAGAAGGCTATTCGTAAAGTCGCTTGCAGTGTCTATGATCATTTGCTAAGGCTGGACCTGAGTTTCCATCTATCGAGACAAACAGGAGGCTTGACACGCGCCATTGATCGCGGTACCAAGGGTATCAGCTTCTTATTGACTGCCATGGTCTTTCATATCTTCCCTACGGCATTAGAGATCTCGTTGGTATGCGGTATCCTGACATACCAATACGGCTGGCAATTCGCTCTCATCACAGGCACAACCATGACCGCCTACTCTGTCTTCACCATCATGACCACCTCCTGGCGCACCAAGTTCAGGAAGCAGGCCAACGCCGCAGACAACAAGGCCGCGACGGTCGCTGTCGACTCCATGATCAACTACGAGGCAGTGAAGTACTTCAACAACGAAAAGTACGAAGTCGGCCGCTACGACAAGGCTCTGAAAGACTACGAGAAGGCGTCCATCAAGGTCGCCACCTCCCTCGCCTTCCTCAACTCCGGTCAAAACATCATCTTCTCCTCCGCCCTTACCGCCATGATGTACCTCGCAGCCAACGGCGTAGCCACCGGTCAATTAACCGTCGGCGACCTCGTCATGGTCAACCAGCTCGTCTTCCAGCTCTCCGTGCCTCTCAACTTCCTCGGCTCCATGTACCGCGAACTCCGCCAAAGTCTCCTAGACATGGAAACACTCTTCAACCTCCAAAAGGTCAACGTAGCCGTCAAAGACAAGCCCGACGCCAAGCCCCTCGCCCTCAAGACGGGAGAAATCAAATTCGAAAACGTATCCTTTGGCTACCGACCCGACCGACCCATCATCAAGAACCTCAACCTCACCATTCCTGCGGGCAAGAAAGTCGCCATTGTTGGTCCTAGCGGTTGCGGAAAGTCGACGATCCTAAGACTTCTTTTCCGCTACTACGACGCACAGGAGGGCCGTATTCTGATTGATGGCCAAGATATCCGCGATGTTACGTTAGATAGCTTGAGGAGGGCTATTGGTGTCGTACCACAAGACACCCCGCTCTTCAACAACACTATCCAGCACAACATCCACTACGGCAACCTAGAAGCGACACAGGAACAAGTTATCGAAGCGGCAAAGAAAGCGCGCATCGACGAGAGTATCAGTCGCTTCCCCGACGGATACGAGACCATGGTTGGTGAGCGCGGAATGATGATTTCAGGTGGTGAGAAGCAAAGACTAGCCATCGCAAGACTCGTCCTCAAGGACCCGCCGTTCTTGTTCTTCGATGAAGCTGTACGTCCTAAACCCTCCCTACCACCTTCCTCTTTCACCAATGACTAACATAACATCCCACACACAGACATCCGCCCTAGACACGCACACCGAGCAAGCCCTCCTCTCACACATCAACTCGCTTGTCAAAGAGAAGCGCCGCACGTCCGTCTTTGTCGCCCATCGTCTCCGCACGATTTACGACTCCGATGTTATCATCGTGTTGAGAGAGGGTAATGTGGCAGAGAGTGGAACGCATCAGTATCTTATTGATCGGGATGGTTTGTATAGTGAGCTTTGGAGTGCGCAGGAGACTATGTTTGTGGAGAAGGAAGAGGAGGGTGAGGGTAAGGATGGAGAGAAGAAGAATTAGATAGAAGAATTAGATGGCGGTTGGGAGGTTGGGAGGTCGTGTAGGATAGTTGGATGTTTGTGAAGGTGGTTTGTAAATACATGGGTTTCTTCGAGTCTTCGCGTGCGTCGAAGGTACTGTTCATAGAAGGATTCGATGAGTATATGGCATGGAGATGTAGCAGAGAATAGACCGTGAGATGAGCAGAGGGCCCGCGGTATGGCAACGTTGAAGCAAACAATTATGTTGAAGATCATAGAGAGGTCGTAACATTCCAGGGGCCATAACAACGAGGCAACAGTATCAACTCGCTGCCAGATAGGCCTATGCGGTGACCGTTAAAACGTGATCAGGTGAGCGGAGATATAGATCGTATGAGTCCAATCCGTCTGACCCGGCACCTGGTAATGCAGATACAATTGCCAACGCGGCCCAGTGACTACCGTCGTAGGGGTCATGGTATCGAAGGCGGATTAGAGTCTATCCAAGACCAAGGAACTCGCTGTTGTGCTTCTAAATAACGAATGCCGAACTGAGTTTACGGTTGTACCCATACCTGTACATATCGCAGTTTCATTCTTCACGTAAATCTCTTTCATCTCGCGGCATCAAATCCGCATTTAACCAACATACGTAGCCATCCTTCCCCACTCTCCATCCCTTTCCAGCCCTTCCAAATCCTCGTCTCGCAAACACATCGCAACAGCCACACTCCCCTCCCTACTCCTCGGCATCAAATACACCAGCCCCTCCACAGGCACAAACCCCGGTCTTCTCACTGCAACCGCCTTCCCCAACCCAAGTCCAAAGTCCCACTCGTAAGCCGGTACTTTCGTCCACGAGCTAAGCGCAATATCCACGCTCATATCGAGAGTAGCAGTCGGACTCGTTTTCGCTGCATTGTCTGGTGATTGCGCGAGGAAAGTGACGAGGGAACGTGTTCGGAATGCGATGTCTGAGGTCGCGGGGTCGACGGAGTGGCGCATTGTAGCGGCGATGTGGCCGAGGGGGGTGGAGAGGAGGGTTGATAGGGTGTATCGCGTGTATGCCATGTTTTGTAGGATGCCGGGGTAGTTGGGGGGGATGTTTAGGTAGCGTCTGGCGTCGACGGCGCGTGCGAGTGTTGCTGGTGTGGATGGAGGTAGACGTGTTTGTCTTGCGCGTAGAACGGAGAGGAAGATGAATGCGGAGAGGGCGTCGTCGGTTGATATGAAATTGGTGAAGTCTTGGGGAAGTGTGGTGGTCGCAAGATCCTTTAGGGTCTTCAAAGACAATGCCGAGAAGTCGAAGTACACCCACCTGCATCTGACAGGTGCTCCAGCAACCGTCGACTCAGCGGTATCCTCCTCTTTGACAACCGTGGGAGCTGGAGGGAAAAGCTGACTCTGCAGTTCCATTCCAGGCACCCATCCCTCATCCTCAATAAGCGGTACAACACCCGTCCTCACCATATTACCTACCTTTCGCTCCTCTTCCGTGAACTCCTCACCCGCACAAGCCTTGGCCAACCAGCCTATCACAGCGGCCTGACCCATCATATCGCACACATTATGTTGCAGATTAACACAAAGCACCATACCACCCCGAATATAACTGATCTGCACCAGCATCACGGGAGCAGGCCGATCATCCTCCCCAGACGCCTTCCTCGGATCAAACCCCAAAGCAGCGAGCGTAGGACAAGGCGCCCAAGTCTCTTCACCCAACATGCGCATCGGAAAACCCGCATTTATGATCTGCGCCAAACTGGGTATCTCCGCATCGGAAGTATAATCTCGTACGATACACTGCGGCACCGGTTCGTATGGCCGGATCCTATAAAGGGGCGTGGCCGTGACGTCGGAATCGGAGTGAGAATTTGCATTGGCATTGACGTCGACGACCTGACCAGCAACCCACGGGAAAATCTTTGCTAGCTCTGCCAATCCGGCGGTGATGATCGCAGTGATTACAGTAGTATCCCGTGACGCTGGTACCTGCCCCTCCTCCGACAGCGGAAAGAACAAGGCAAGTTGGGTATAAAGCTTGAACAGAGCGGGCTGGGCACCCATCAGGTCGATATCCATATCCAAATCCGGAAGCAGGGTCATGTTCGGCAACTAGGATACGTTGCGGTGATCCTTTTGGACAGCATGTCAGTTTAGTTCCAACGTATGGCGTGATGAGGGGGGGATTTGGATATGGGCAACTGTAGAGTAAGTGACATTCTGGGCTTACGCGTATGGTGTGTGCTGGTAATGAGGTGCCGTTTTCTTTGGACCCCGCAGTGGTTGACGGACTGGACTGAACTGACAGGTACGAACGTGTCCCGCCTTCTGAAACTGCAAACGCGTCAAGGCCTGACGCGCAATTGACCGCAGTTCCTCCTGCTCGACTGTTGCGTGAGGTCTGGACTCGCTGAGGTGTGCAATATGGATGGTATTATCCTAAGCAAGCGTTGGTACCGGTTTACTTTGTACACAAGAACAAGTGCGCAAACGGCGTAAACTCATCATGACTCATTTTGATGCTGTGAGACGTTGCTTATAGCATCGTGAGATGAACCAAGATCAGCTTTGAAGGACCGCCGTAGCGAAAGTATCTTGTGAACTCCATACATCCAACAAGCACAACATCCACCTCTCGAACGTGTATGCATCAAAGGGCCGCCTGGCTATCGTCGCAACAGCCAGCCAGTGCACATGGGCTCGTCCCATCGCTAGCCTTGCCGTCTCGGGGGACTTGCAGGGCACTTTGATGACCCGCAGTATGCAATGCTGCCCAACTTGACAGGAGAATGCCAGAAACGCCCCTCTCCTTTTCCCACCAACACGTCGAGGGAAGAAGAGAGGTCAGAAAAAGACACTGCCAACAATAGACTGCTCCCGCATGCAGGCAAATTCACGGTGGCGAAAATTTCTCTTCGTTCGTTCGCAGTCGATATGCACGGCGCCTGGGTGTACCTGGAGCTACCAGCTGCACTCGCCGCCTGTACGTGCTGGGATATCGCCAACGTTGGCCCGCTGCCGCAACGCACGCACGCACGAAACAGCAGGGGAGGCAAGGGATTGTCTCTCTCCCCTCCCTCGTTACTGCACGACCAAAAGTCTCCGTTTGCCGCTCTCGTCTCCAGCTGCATTGTGCTTTGATTCATTTGTCGATGGAGGAAGTAGAGCGATTGGCTGGTTTGCCCATTTAATTCAAATACAAAATCCCCGCTTGTCGCTCGCGTGGGAAGGGCTGGCTCTCGGGGTTCCACATGTCCTCAGTGCCGGAGTCGGGTCGGTTGCTTTGTGGGGAAGACGTACCGGAACATCGGAGACACACTATCCGGGACGAAAAGATGAAGATCACACATGTGAAGAATCAAGGTAGGACGAGGAGGAGGACGAGTAGTTATGTACCAAAAAACATAGACGTTGAATTCGAAAGGTATCTCGGGGGGGCGTTATAGAAGAATGTGTGACCCAAACTGAACCCATGACTTTTCCGTCCTTATTCCAGGTTTTGAGATTTCCAAATATGCCATGCGCTGCTGACAATAAACACATGCTACCACAGTACCCGTCTTCCAGATTGTCGACATGTTGCCTTCTTTTCGCAACCCGCCAGCCCTAGCCCACTTAATCAATTCAGCCGTACAGTGTCATGCAAGATCTCAGTTGCTGCGCAGATCTCGGTCGTTAAGGAAATAAGAATAGGCTAATGTTCGTAGTACTCCAGATACTCCATGGGTCTCATGCAAAACCAAAGTGAGACCATCGATGCAAACGCCGCTCATATGCCGACGCCTTGTTGAGTGCTTTCTATCAGTGATGTGGCACGACAGTGGGAGGTGTCGTAGCCCGTTATGGTGCAGTAAATCCAAATATGTATGTCGGAAGGCGTATCGGTCGCTGGACCGAGTGGATGTCGAGCCGGGAGCTCATAGAATGACGCACTTCGGTTTCTCTTTGCCGCGCTTGTTGCCGCCCGTCATGCCGGCGCCCCGTGTGCGACGGTCACCGGCTCCTCTTGTGCGGTCCTTCTCGTGCAGGCCGGTGCGTACGCGGGCTTCTTTCCTGTCTGTGGGGTTGCGTCCGCTGCCTTGTCGTTGCCGTCGGAGCTGTCTAACGACGTCGAAGAAGGCCTTTTCCACGTTGACGCAGTTTTTGGCGGATGCCTCGACAAAGTCGCAGCCGAGTTCTTTTGCGAGAGCTTGACCCTCTTGGGTGGAGACTTCACGCTCCGTGACACGGTCGCATTTGTTTCCGACGAGCATCACAGGGGCCTGGCCGAACATGGGAGCTGATGCGCTGATGGGCGAGCCGGGGTAGGTCGGTGAGCCAGCCATGGCCGTCTCTTTGACGCGCTGTATTTGGCTGTGGAATCGCTGTATGCGGGCGAAGGAGGAGCGTGATGAAATGCTGTAGACGAGTACGAAGCCCTCGCCGTCGCGTATCCATTGGTCCCGCAGGGCGATGTATTCTTCTTGGCCAGCCGTGTCGAGGACTTCGAGCATGCAGGACTGGCCGTCAATTTGCACCTGCTTGCGGTACGAGTCTTCAATGGTGGGGTCGTAGGTCTCAACGAAGTGGTTCAAGCACAGCTAGCCGCGGTCAGCCAATGTCAAGGGAATGGGGGAAACAGGAGGGCAGGGCTACCTGTATGGTCAGGGCGGTCTTTCCCACACCACCGTCGCCCAGCACCACCAGCTTGTACAGCGTCATTTTCCCCGCCATGGTGTCGGTAGGAGAGCAGAGTCGGCCGCGTCAATTCAATGCAGGCAGCGAGTCAAGGGCGGATGGGGCACAGATAAAGGACGGGGCGTGGTGCAAGCAGCTCGCCACGTCGTCGCAGTATCGTCTCGTGTACAGCAGCGGGATTGCAGCTGACCAGCGGGCTCAGCGGGTTCAGCCTAGGTTGGGAGCTGCGAGAGATCCAGAGGGGCGGGACGAAGGGGGCGGCGCGGCCAGAATGAGCGTCTCGATGTCGTGGTCCCAAACGGCGGTCCACACTCGCACGGCAGCACAGGGGCGCGTGTCGACGGGGAGCTGCAGGCGCTTCAGAATGGATCGGCTTGGGAGTGCACAATGGTTGCACACAGACGTCGAGGCGGAAGCGAGGCCTGTGCAGCTGGGCCGACGCAGAAGGGGCGGCGTTGGCGAGCGGGGAGCAGATGCGCGTTGGAGCAAGTCGAGTTGGGAGGTGGTCCGGTGGTGGTCGAGGGGATGGGAGAAAGTTGGGCGAGGCGTCTTGACGTGGTCAGGGTTCTCTGCGAGTGGCTCGTGTCCCCACGTGAAGATGTGGATTTGGAAGCGGGCGATGGACAAAGCGATCAGGGCTTCTAGGGTGCAAGCGTCCGAGTCCGGGGCATCACCTATCAGCAGCAGCGTCTACTATCGGGGCTCCGTTGCATGGGCGCGGGCGACGTGGGATGGGCAGGCAGCACGGAGGACGGGGGCAACGATAGCGGCGTGATGGATGAGGGAGGTCAAAAAGAAACGCGATTAGTCGACATGGGCCTCCGGGGTTTTTACGCTTCTGCGTCGAGTTGGCACCTTGGGCCTTGGGCGACGGCGCTGCAGCACTGGGGGCTGCCAAACGTCAATCCGCCTAGTCCTATCCAAGCCATGCAGACGAGAAACAGCCAAGGGCCTGCAGCCAGAAGCACTCAGGACCGCCTCGCCGACCCGGCCCCGTGGCTGGCTGCTGCGTGCCCATATAAGCCGACGACGCCGTGCCGCCCCAGGTCGTGGAAGCCTGGTCTCACTGTGTGCGCCCGTCACGTCCCAAGGTGGTGCCGTCACGACCAAACGGCCAGAAGAGCTGCCGTCGTCTCAGTGCGCAAGCGCAGGCGGCAGGCCCTAGGACATGCTAGGGCTGCAAACGGGGGCCCCCTTGGGGGTGCCATTGGGGAGAGAGGCACTACACATGCACCCTCGACTCTGTAGGAACAAGAAAGCCGCCGAGCGGCCTGCCCGCCAGCACGCTGACTCCCGGCTCCAGCCACACCAAGGAGTCGAGGGCTCGCTCACCAAGGGCGGCCAACTCCATGACTCCAACGACTCCAACATGTGAATGCTGCTTCGACATTGCAGGACAGGTCGGCCACTTTTGCGCCAGGGTTTCAGTCGTCGTCCGGCGTGGGCTGCGAGGCATGGTGCTTCGGGGAACTGGACCCCAAGCCGCGACAGCGTGTAGCCGATAGTCGCTTGGCCCACTGTTGCGCTCCTGATATTCTGCCGAGCCGACGGGAGCACTGCACCAACAGACGTCGTCGCCGGCACGCCTCTGGCCATGAATGCGGGCGGCGGCCTGCTATCTCATGTCAGACGCCTGGCTGCGACGACTTCTGCCGGTAAGAAAGCTTGTACACAGCTGTAGACGACGCGTAGACGACCGGCGCGAGGCATAGCCTGACCAGACGCCCGACTAGCCAGTGCCAGCGCGACTGTGACGAGGCTCCGAGGTCACTGACTAGATGAGCGACCCAGGGAATGCCTTGATATGTGCGCTGATGAAGTGTCAAGCTCCCAGGTGGGCGGGAACATGGTAGCTCAGCACGAGCGTCATGTAGGTCAGCCCGGA